AGTTGGTTCAGCAGATCCATTTTCTAATGCATTTGGTTTCTTCTTATCTGCATCTTCATTATCTTCTGATGCACTGCCCATTAGTTCTGACATATTCTCATTATCTCCTGATCCACTGCCTATTAATTCTTGCATACTATCATCATTATCTTCTGATCCACTGGGCATTGATTCTTGCATACTATCATCAGTATCTTCTGATCCACTGGGCATGTTAAGTAAATCCTTTATCAAATTAACTTCTGTCTTCTTAACTTCTAATTCATGCTTTAGTTCATCCTTTGGCTTGTTCTCTAATTCTTCCACTTTATTATGGTCTAGCCCACTGTACTTCAGTTTTAATTCTTTATCATCCATTGCGTATACACGCCCTGTCACTATAAAGCACATGCAAATAGCAGTAAACCATAATTTTATGGATAATCGTGTACCTCTTATATTCATGACTTATAATTACACTTCTTCATTTATAGATTATATCTAAAGCACCAATGATCTGCCTAACCAATCATCAGAATAATTCTTAAAATCTGTTGGTTATTCATTCTATTAATTTTATTCATTTAATTTCAAATACGCGGTGTCTTCTTGTAGGGGCAGTCTCCTTGTCATTCGGTGCCTTCGAAGAGTCCTTTTTAATTGCTGTGGGTAATTTTATCTCAATTTTTGAAATTGGGGTGGGCTTTGTGGCTGCCCCGGGTTTGTTACTCCACCCGGAAATTGTGTGTGCTGAGGACCAAGACACTTTCAGTGCAGGTTTCTGCTTGGGTGGGTTTAAGTCCTTCTTATGGGCTGTTGTATACGCACATTCAAGTGGATTCTTCTGTGGGTTGATTGTGTACCCACTTGGTGATTCTTCTTTTTTCTGTTCCTGTGGTGACCCGGCACTCTTCTGTGGCTGGTTCTTGGCGTGTGGTGATTTCTGTGGGGTTGGTGCAAATTCAATTGATCTTCTGATCTTCGGGAAGTTCACTTTAATGTCTTCTGTCCTGTCTGGCATTAAGTATGTTGAAACCCTTTCAATGAACTCGATTGTTTTCGTATCACCAAGGATGGCTCTTATTTGACCAACAAACTCGTCCAGTCCTATTTCCACTCTGTCGTATTTCTCTGTTAATAGCACTACGTCCCTTGGTGATGTATACGACCGACTGATCATATTTGTATACTTTTCTTTCATGTTCCTTTTCTTTAATAACTCTTCTCTGTTCAAGTGCTTTGGTACTTCTGGAGTATTCCTGTCCTGGGGTGCACTCTCTGCACTGGACTCATTTCCGGGTTCATTCGGGTTTCTTCCTTTTTTGTATACGTCTTCTTTTACGGCTGTCTTCTTATGCGCGTGCACTGAGGAGAGTATCGGAATTCTGATTCGTTCTTTTTTGACGGGGTGTGTGCTGACTTTATGCGCTGCCAACTCAATTTCATCAATAAATGCATAGCACCTGGCATCTAAACACATTTTCTCATCGCATGTATAGTGTGCTTTCTTAAAGTGTCCTTCTAATTCCTTATAGTTCTTGTAGTACTCGTTCTTCTTGCCAAGTCTCTCACACAAATAGCATAATTCATGGGCCTTTCTGCAGTGCTTCATTAAGATCTCTGGTGTATAAAACCGCTCCCTACAGAACCCACAGCTAGGATGGCCATTTCCTATGGTCTTCTCTGTCCTGTGCGTATTTAATTCTGCTAAACTGTACACGATATACTCAGACGGAAATTCACATCTGTACTGTACGCACAGTTCACATAAGTACCTTTTATGCTTGGCTGTATAATGAGCCATTAGTGTTTCACTGTCATAGAACTCTGTCTTACACAATTTACAGGACCGAGTAAGCAATCCTTCAATCTCTTCAATCTCCTCGGGTTTGCACACAATAGAATTAGCCCAGATATAAGACTCTTCCGTATTAATGAATCTCTCCCCGGGACTCCTCACCATGCGAAACAGTAATTCTTCATCAGCCACCTCTCTAAGACAGATTGGACACCCTGACTTATTACTTATAAATTTATACCGTAACCCACACTTTAAACAGCACCTGTGCCCACACTCAGTGACTACCCCTGTGGTATACGTATCATAGCAAATTATGCACTCTTCCTTCATAAATATATTATGTGCAAATTTTTATTCGCATACAGAATAAATAATAAACACCTCCCCACCATAACCCGAATTCCTTGGTTTACTACGTATATCCCGTATACACCCGTACTAATAAACTACTTTACACACTTACACTAAACCACGTTATAAATAACCCGAATATAACCCGAATATTCCATAAATATTTTTATGCGTACATGCGTACACACCCGATATAACCCGAATATATCACACATGCCACTTAATTACCCGTTATATTTATGTACTTCATCTTATCCCTGGTTATATCTCACATAAATATTTTTGTTTTAATAAACACGCATGGCTGACTTACACAAGCACACGCACGTGGCAGTAGACGCACTGCAAAATGAATCGTACATAATACCAGCCGATCCTGATAAATTAGACGAGATTAAAGAGGTCATAACTCAAATATTTCCTGTTGTATATAATCATGATTTCTACGGCAAGTTATTCTCTAGGAACACGTTCCTCCAAATCCTGTGCACCTCCGGGACAGATGCAATTATTGGTCTTGTGGCACTTAGGCTGTCAACGGCACAGACTGTAGATTTAACTGGGTCACCGCACAGTGCAGTGCCAGCGTGTGAGTGCTTCGGCATTAATAAGTTTGAAAATGACAAGTTCATGTACATTATTCTACTGGGAGTCCTTGAGAAGTATCAAGGACTGGGTCATGGGAAGAGTCTCATTAAAGAAATCATTTCTATTTCTGTGGCGTACGGTATTTCTCATATTTTTCTTCATGTACAGACGTCTAACCTCCGTGCGATTGAATTTTATTACAAGTCCGGGTTTAAGCTGGTGAAGCTTATCACTAATTATTACACAAATGTATATCCTAAAGATGCCTTTTTATTACGGAAGTGTCTGTTAAAATAGATAATAAACCACTTGGTCATTTTGAGAGTGATTCTTCAATTTTATCCAACCGTTTTTTCATTAGGAAGACTTCTTTTAGTACTTCTGACTGTATTCTATGCACTGACTCCTTGAATATTTCGAATTCTTTGTATAAATTATCGGTGTACTGTGGGTTTCTGAGTATGTCCTGGTTAGTACTCTTCTGTGCACTGGTTACTGTATTATTAGTCTGTGCACTGGTTACTGCAGTACTCTTAGCACTGGTTACTGTATGTGTATATTCTGGGGTTAGTCTATTCTGGCTGGAACTGTTGGTGTCTTTTATGTATTTCAGGTATACTTGATGGGTTGCTCTTAAAATCCGTTATATTCCCAGATATCTGTAGATTTAACGGTTTTTTTTCAGGGTCATTCTGTATGCTCGTTGTAATAATAGAGATATAAGAATAATCACTGCGTCCCTCCATACAACTCCTGTATATTGTCCTAATACTACTATTATACGGTGAGTATACAGTTATTTTACTTGTGGATATAAATGCGATTGATTTCCCATTTATGGAGACAGCCCTCGTATAATCATCCACTGGGAATGAGTGCCTTTTTAGTACTCTGTTGTTCAAATAGTCCACATCTAATAATTCACCAGCCACTGTCAGTATGAATAACACAGTCGATTCAGGATGCCAAAACCCGAATCGCATTAATACGTGCCCCGAAATACTTCATACTCCTGATTATTTCCATCTTATGACTATCAAATACGTACACATTCCCTTTCATACAACTCACCACTAAATGTATCTTGTCCTTTAATTTAACCACTTCCCCTGTTTTATGGTCTAAACTCACTTTTAGCCTTAATTTAGTATAAATATTCGTGTTTACCTCTAATTTATGAATAACCTTGTCAGAAATTATTAATAACGTACTTTCACATAATAAAATTTTTGATATTCCTATATTTTCATTATTATCTATTAAAACTTTTTTATCTCCTGTGGTTATGTCTATTTTTATAACGGTCTTTCCTAATATGTAAAATATAACAGTACCAAATATAGCATAAGACTCAACCTGACTAATAATTGTATCTTCTCTGCCCTTTACGTACCTCACTAAGCAAAGGCTTTCTTCTTCTGTGTACCCAATGAATGCCCCTCTTTTAAATAAGTGCTCATTCACTGCGAATGATTTATACTTCTTATGGAGCACCCATTTATTCTGTGAGTATCCTTTACATATTAATACTGCTCCATTAAGTACTTCCATAATTGTATTTGTATCTTGTCCTTGTCCTTCATTATTCCTGTGCGTGTTCTCTTCTTTAACCCGGAATTCCATTTCCTGTGAAAATTCAAATAAACAATTTATTATATAAATCATAATAATACAATCTTATTATATTAATCATTATTTATTACGCATACAACTGAAAATAATATATTAATTAGTGTGTAATGTATAATAAATATACAAAACTTATTACACAATGCGTACTAATTAATAATTACAGGCATAAACATAAAAAGTAAAAAACTTTTAAGCAATTACGCAGTATGTCTTATACAAATAATGGCATAACTGAGAAAGTAGGAATAATCAATGGGATTGAGTGTATAGCAGAGAATATCTATCTGTATAAGATATTTATAGGGGATGCATCAAGTCCCATCCCTTTTTATACAGTACGGCTGGGCATACTTGGTCAGTCACTTACACGGCCGTATTCCCCTGTTAATTTTAGTGGTGGTGTAATTGAGTGCATAATTAAGATATACGAAGAGGCCGGGGACAGGGAGATGTTCACACCACAATTAAGCAAATTAAAGGAGGGCAGTGAGATACGGGTTATATGGTACATACACAAATATTCAATATATAGTACACATAGTATAACAAGTACTAATAATAATAGTATATGTAATAAGTTATGTAATAATGATAGTACAGGATATAGTACTAATAGTATAACAAGTACTAATTATACTACAGTATGTAATAAGTTATACGACAGTACAGAATATAATACCGTATGTATGATAAGTGCTGGTACGGGGATTACTCCGATGTTACAATTACTTAATCATAATAACCCGACTAACCCTAATTTTATTTTTATATATGTTTATAACAGTAAGTCACAGAAGGTCCCTTTAATTAATCATGGTAATATAACGTATTATGATATAATTAGTCATAATATACAGCACACAGATATAATTAGTAATATACAAGATATAATTAGACTAATTATTAATAAGCCTGTTGTATATTTAGTGTGTGGACCAGATTCATTTGTACATTCAGTGGGCGGAGACAGGAAAGGGGCGTATGGAGGCATTCTTAAAGAAATGGGCGTATTAGAGAAAGACTGTTATAAATTATAATAGAATATAATACACATAGAGTAATAAATAGAATATAATACACATAGTATACTAATTAATAATATATCTGTTATCATAATAAGTACATAATATATTACACATAGTATACTAATTAATAGAATATAATACACACAGAGTAATAAATAGAATATAATACACATAGTATACTAATTAATAGAATAAATATGTATAAATTAAGTATATAATATATTACACATAGTATACTAATTATTATATACTGCACTATTACTTAATAGTCTTCTGATATATAATGAAATTATTTTTTATTTTTAATGAGTATTCTACAGGACAGTGAATTAGATGAGTACGTCATACAAGAAGAGAACAGGCAAAGAACCTCCATCACACTAATTGCAAGTGAGAATTACGTATTCCCAGGAGTATACAAGTACTCAGGATCACTCCTAACCAATAAATACTCAGAGGGTAAAGTAGGTGCAAGATACTACGGTGGTACTAAATATATAGACATAATAGAAAGCCAGTGTAAGGACCGTATACTGGCCCTATTTGAATTAGACCCATCCGTATGGGGAGTGTGCGTACAGTCCTACTCAGGAAGTATCGCTAATTTATCAGCATACTCAGCCATGGTCACACCAGGCGGTAAGATCATGGGAATGAACCTGCCAGCAGGTGGCCATTTAACACACGGATTCCAAACTAAAACAAGAAAAGTGTCCGGTACAAGCGTATACTTCTCATCCCACCCGTATGAAGTGGATGCTAATGGATATTTAGACTATAATCATATACGTACACGGTTTAATGAAGTATCCCCAGAAGTACTTATATGCGGGTACAGTGCACACTCACAAGATATAAATTATGCACTGCTCAGAGGGATAGTCACAGACAAGGCATTCTTATACGCAGACATCTCTCATATATCAGCACTAATTGCATCTAAGCTAATGAATAACCCATTTATACACTGTGATGTAGTTATGACTACTACGCATAAGGGGTTAAGGGGACCACGTGGTGCCATTATTATGTACAGGAAGTGTGTTACAGTTAATGGGACCACTCATGATTTAGATAATAAAATGAACCTGGCCGTATTTCCGTTAATACAGGGTGGTCCGCATAACCATACGATTGCAGGCATATCCCACAGTATGTATATGGCTAAACAGCCTGAATTTATAACGTACTGTAAGCAGGTGGTGAGTAATGCCCGTATAATGTGTGACTACTTTAAGCAGCGTAATTACAGCGTAGTGACTGATTCTACTGTTAACCATATGGTAATAATAGACTTACACAGTAAGGGCGTGAGTGGCCAGGAGGTTGAGTCATTCTGTGACTATTTAGGCATAAATATAAACAAGAACAGTGTACCCCGTGATAAATCGTGTTTATTTAAGCCGTCTGGTATACGGCTGGGTGTGTACGCGATTACCACACGGGGGTTTAAAGAGGGTGATACGTATTTAGTGTGTGATATGGTGCACACTGCAATTATGCTGTTACAGGACACGGTCAGTGCACGGAGTAAGCATAAGTCAGTTAAGGACTGGATTATATCCGAGGATATTTTAAATCAGGAGGGCATAAAAAATATTATACAAAATATTTTCAATTTAACGAAGAAGTATCCGGTACCTGAATAAAATTTTATTAATAAAAATAAACACAACTTATTACACAGTGAACACAACTTATTACACAATGAATATCAACTTATTACACAATGAATATAACTTATTACACATTGTACATAACTTATTACATAATACATCACTATTAATATAACTTATTGCACAATACATCATAATACACCATATAATACACTATAACTTATTACACAATATATCAATATTAATACTATACACCATAACTTATTACATAATGAACACAACTTATTACACTATATCATAACTTATTACACAGTTGATTTTCCCCTTCTCCTTGTAAGTGTAAACTTCTATTTATTATTAACGTACTCACAAGGGAGTAACACCACCGCTCTGCCACGTAGCCAAAATAAAGAAGAAAGTCAATGAAGAGGTCTCTTTATTGTATTAAGAAACAGTCTAAGCCAGCATAGACACGGAGTATTAATAATACGACTGAGTTAGGCCTAGTACTGAAGTTACCCATCAATGCTTCCCATAATCACCCCTAAATTAGGGGATGTACTCCAGTTAAACAATCATATGTTGATATATTAACTCAGAGATACCAACACACATTGCCTAGGCAGTATCACTGTACAAGATAGTACACTGACAGAATGCCCTCATGGCCCATGTCTGTGTGGTGGTGTCATCATATATTAATATGATATATTATACTATAATAGTACTTATATTACTAGCAGTATATCCAGTAGAGTACTCACTTAGAATTAATTATATACACCAATAAAATATTTATTAATTAAAGTCTGTTAATGATTAACGTAATATTTAAATAAGAACTTTATAAATAATTTATATTTTTCCGTTTTTACTGTATAAATATAAAGAATATTATTAAAATTTATATGACATATAATATTGATGCGGATGAATTAAGAAAACAAGTAGAGAATAAATTCAGTAAGCAAAGAATAATGGAAAAGGATAAAGATATAAACACATTATACGACATAGTAACAGAAGTTAACAAAAAAAAAAGAATATTCATAGATTCACCAGAACCATTAGAAAGGCTAGCATATAATATACTGTATATGAAAATATATAATAGAATTATTTCTAATGATATTGAATATAATGAAGATACTATAACAGATAAAATAATAGAATCTATAAAACAGACAGATATAGTTATAGATATAATTAAAGAAGCAGCAGACGAATTAGACAGTGAAGATAAAAAAGCAGCATTTTATAGACTAATGGGAAATAATCATGCCATTATGGCGAATACTTATATATTAAGAAAGAAATTCTTTGATTCTTCTATTAAGATATTATGTAAGAGCATGAATATACAAGAACTAGATGATAAAATGACTTCAGAAGATGCAATGATTAAACTATGCAAGTTAACACAATCTAAAAAATATTCTAGATTACAGAGAGCATTAGATATACTAATGAAACATGGTGATAATTTAACTATAGTTGATGAGGATGATAACGAGACAAAACAATCAAATGCAAGTAGTTTAGGGTTAAGTAAAGATGATATTAAATCATTGCAATTACTTACAAGGATAGATAAGTGGAGTGCTAAAGAATTTTCTATATTTTTAAACGATTCAATATATGATTCAATCCGTGATAATATTAAACAAGATAATGCAAGGTATTTATTTCATACAATTCGTGGATTATACTACGGAGTATATTATGATACCTCTATATATTACGATGAAATAGACACTGAAACTAAAGAAGATAGTATAAATTGCCTTAAAAGACACTTAAATAACTTATTAAATATTAATGAAAGAGTATGTAATATTCAGAATAGATTTTTTAAACCTCGTATATTTGTTGATATAACCCGAAATGGACTTACTGCTAATAAGTTTAAGAATAACGTAGTTAAGAAGTATTTAACTTCAATAGAACTAAATATTTCAATTATTAATGGGACAACTGCTTTAAGTATTAATGAGACAGTTGTTCCAGTTACTACGCATAAATTTAAAAAAGTATTAATTATTTTTATAATAATATTTATAATAATATTTATAATTATTATGAGTATATTTGGAATATTCCCTACTGAAACAAAAGAAATTATGAATAATTTATTATTTTAATAATACTGTTAGTTTGGGATAGTTAGATCCAGATGAGCAATGGTTAAGTATGATATTAATATATGAACATCCATCATTGGTGGCAGTGGTTATATTGATATCATAAGTAATTGGAGTTAAAACTATTTAAGAGTTTTGGGTTTTCAATAAAGAACAAGTTTTCGTATGTCTAAGTCTTTAAGGAATAAACAGATATTATTATAACTTATTACACAATGAACATAACTTATTACACAATGAACACAACTTATTACATAATACATCACTATTAATATAACTTATTACACATAGGATATAACTTATTACATAATGTATCATTATTAATACAGTATACTATAACTTATTACATAACATATCACTATTAATATATTACTAGTTGTTTTCTTAGGAAAAGGCATTCTTAAACTTTGACTTTTATTGAATTTGTATACGTATTTATAGACCGTAAAATCAATTTAATTTATGTTGACTTGTTGTGTCAACAATAATTTCTGATCTAATCTGTATTGTCGTGTTTATGTAAACATTACAATAACTCATGTCATGCTAACAAATGCTATTCTTAGCATACAACATCACTATTAATACTATACACCATAACTTATTACATAATATATCATTATTAATACAGTATACTATAACTTATCACACATAGAATATTATATTTTTATTTGTGGTAATAACCCGATTTAACCCGGTTTTACAATCTTTCCTGTACTTTCTTTGAAATAATCCTTAAGTCCGAACATACTTTCGCTGGCTGTGATCCCATAATTAATTTACTTACAGCCGTCCTTACTAATGATATATTCTCTGCTGTGCCTAATACCCTTATGTTCTTGTCCTCTATTACTATCCGTGTACTTGTGATTAACTCTAAATTATTCTTAACCTTCCCTTTTGAACCAGCGATCCTCCCGATCGCTCTTCCTATGTGATGGTGTCGGAGTATCCTTACATCCTCTAATGAGAAGCAGTTAACGTACAGGGAGTCATCCCTTAGTATAGATAAGGCATCTTCTGGTGAGAATCCCAGGGTTATCGCATTAATGAACTCTTCTGCTCTTTGAATGGCGACTGGACTGAGTGTCTCTTTACACGTCCTTATGTCTATGCACTGTGTAGACAGGTTCATCCTTATTTCTAATTTACACTGCATAACAATTGGTGTGTATATTTTCATCCACATCTCCTTTACTGCTTTCATTTTCCTGGATGGTACGCGGATACTTCTCATCTCGTATGAAATACTCTTCTCTTCTTTTTTTGTCATAAAATTTTACATTCCGTTATTTCATAAATATATAGTAGTAAATATATAATAAGTAATATAATATAATAGAAGTAGAGTAATAAATAATAGAAGTAGAGTAATAAATAATAAAATATAATAGTAGTAGAGTAATAAGTTATGTTAATATTGATATATTGTGTAATAAGTTATAGTATATGTGTAGTAATAATAAATAACAGTCTTATACTATACGTTATTATATAATGTGTTAATATACTGTGTTAATATACTGTGTTATGTGTAATAAGTTTTATACTGTGTGTAATAAATTATGTACTTTATGTGTAATAAGTTATGTTATATGTATAATAAGTCTTATTCTATGTGTAATAAGTCTTATACTGTGTGTAACAAGTTATGTACTTTATCTGTAATAAGTCTTATATGCTATGTGTACTATATTTTACTATATGTGTAATAAGTTATACTTTATGTGTAATAAGTTTTACTATATGTATAATAAGTTATGTTATATACGTAATAAGTCTTACTTTATATTTCACTCTATGTGTACTATATTTCACTCTATACGTTATTATATTTTATTCTATGTGTAATAAGTTTTATTCTATGTGTAATAAGTTATGTTATATACTATTTATTTATACCTTCCTTGTACTATAGAATGTCTTTACTGCTTCACTCTGTACATAATACAGTGCAAGTAAGCATAAGCCTACTTCTAACAGTGTAAGCTTCTTAATCCAACTCTTAGTACTCCTTGCTTTATCTAAGTGCTCCTTCTGCCGTGTCAGTAATAATTTATGTGAGTCAATTATCCTTCTTAATGAGTCCTCTAAGTCCTTCCCTAAGTTTACCTCTACTTGTGATGCAAATGGTCCCTCATCCGCTTGTGGTAGTACCACAGTAAATAATAATTTGTTTAATTTATGGTTATTTACTGTTATCGTATACTCACCAGATACTTTAGGTATAAATGAGATGTTCATATCTGAGTCATTATTAAATGAGCGTATAACCTTATTAGAAGGGTCCTTTAACTGAATATTTGTATTAGAATTATTATTTAATGATAATTCTATTCTTGTACTTTTATTCTCTATTAATTGCAGTCCGAGTGTGAAGGTGCTCTCACTGGAGATATCGAATGTCTCGCATACGCATACGGTAATGCAGAGGAGTAACCAGAATATATTCATATAAATAAAAAAATAAAAATAATATATAAGACAGTGTGTAATAAATAATAAATAGTATACATAGTATAATAAATAAGAGAGTGTAGCAGGATATAGTAGTGATAGAGTAATAAATAAAAAGAACAATAATAAAAATAAAACACCAGAAGAAATATAAAACAAGAATAATATAATACACAGTGTGTAATAAATAACTATAACTTATTACACATATACTATAACTTATCACACATAGAATAATAAATAGTAATAAACAATAGAAGTATACCATAAATAGAACAGAAATACACCAAAAATAGAACAGGTATAACTTATTACACACAGTATAATAAATAACTATAACTTATTACACATACAGTACTATTTATTACACATATACTATAACTTATTACACATATTCTATAACTTATTACACAATACATAATAAATAACTATAACTTATAACACATATATTATTACTTATTACACAATACATAATAAATAACTATAACTTATTACACATATATTATTACTTATTACACATACACCACTAAATATAACTTATTACACATACACCACTAAATATAACTTATCACACATATACTATAACTTATAACACATATACTATAACTTATTACTCTTATACTACTATTTATTACACATATACTACTATATACTGCTATGCATTACTTATCACACATATACTACTATTTCTTCTTCTATTTTTATTGTATTACTTATTACACATATACTACTATGTATTACTTATTACACTATGTGTACTATTTATTGCTTATTAAACAGTCCTTTATTATTCCTGTGAATTTACGTACGTCTAATAAGTTGTCCTTGTATAATATTCTTATATCCGTGGATACTTTAATTGGAATTTTCTTCTCTCCCGTATATAATAGTACAGTATATACAGGGTGTGTATTACTTATGGTGGTTAGCACATTTAATTTTGTGCGATTTTTACACCCACTAAAAGTATAAAAATAACAAAACTTTATGATAAATGTCTCAGAATAAGTGAGCACCCAGAACATTATTATTAGTGCGATAATTAAAGGGTCCTGGATATTAAAAATATTTTTATGGGTTAATAAAAATATAATTATAGCAAGACTTGTTACACATATACCGATAAGTAATTTTATATTTACTAATAAAGTGGATTCTTTGTAATTTTCTGATTCTTTTAAGTATTCTATGAGTATTTCATCTAATTCTGACTTTATTACTGATAAATCGTATAAATGTGAGTTAATTTCGGGTTTAGGGGTCATTTCTGGCTTCATCTGAGGTTTGCTCATTAAAAATAAAAAAAGAAAAAATAAAAAAATAAAAAAAGAAGAAAAAATAAAAAGAAAGGGCAACTCCGGGAATTGAACCCGGGACCTCCTGCACCCAAAGCAGGAATCATACCACTAGACCAAGTCGCCTTCGATGAATAAGGAATACAGACATACACAAGGAGTAATAGTAGAAGGGGGAAGGAGGAAGGAGTAAATAGTACTAATAGTAGGAAGTAATAATAGAAGGAGTAAATAATGATATATGTGTAATAAGTAGTGTATGATGTGTAATAAGTAATGGTATATTATACATTATGTGTAATAAGTAGTGTATGGTGTGTAATAAGTTATATTCATTGTGTAATAAGTTATAGTGTATAGTATTAATAATGATATATTGTGTAATAAGTTATAGTGTATAGTATTAATAGTGATATATTGTGTAATAAGTCATGTTCATTGTGTAATAAGTTATGGTAAATAGATTTATTAATACTTTGTACACTATGCATAATAAATACTTATTAAAATATTTTAAAGAATAAAACTGTTCATAAATTATTATTACTTTACACACTATAACTCTAAAATAATAAATATATTATTACTTATTATACACTGTGTTATTAATAATAATTATAACTCATTGGGTTATTAGTTTATTACTTATTATACTATGGTTATAAAGTAGTCATAAAAATAGATAATAAATATATTACTACTTATTACACACTGTCTATTATTTATTACTTATTATACTATGTGTATAAAGTATTGATATAATTAAGTTATTCTTTGTAAGGCATAAATAATATTTTATTTTTAATAAATTATGCATAGTTCACAGGGAATAAAAATAAATTTCAGAAACTCTTATATTCGAGTTATACTCTATTATAAACTCAGAAATTCAATCTATATCCTAAATGATTGTTCATTCATAAATTATTATCGCACTAATTCTTTCATTACTTCATACAAGATAATGTTACCGCTAAGAGTATGGTCTGTGCCTGTAGTGAATCAATAATTAGAATATCAAAATGTACGCATATATTTATAGTCCTAGTAGTCCTTAAGCTTGAATTGTCTTTTTAAATCCACCGTGATTTATTTATGTATGTGCTAGTTACTCCTAGTTTGAATATATACTTCAGTAATTCATGCCTTTGGTTTAGTAGAATCACTGCGTGTCTGTGTGGTATCGTTATAATTAAATATTTTATTTTTTTTATTTTTCTTATTTTCTGTTCTTAACTCGTTCATATTAATAATTTACTATAATAAATAATTATAAATTTACACTTTTAAAAAAAATGAAAAAATGAAAAAATGAAATATTTATAACATCATAATAGTAATTATTATACCATTTTTAATAGAAAACAGTTTATTAAAAAACACATAACCAAATATTCAGTAAATAACATATACTTATCACATATACAGTATAAACTGGGTTTTTATATTTTTAGAAGAGACTATAGCAACTTAATAATACTGACTATTAGGAGCAAAAGCAGAATATGCCATATAAAGTAACTTTATAATACTACACGATAATCAGATATTACTATAAATATACTATTATAGTATATGTAATACTTATATTATAGTGTATATATTGATTTTAGTCTCAGAATACTTCTGTAATATAATTCTGCATATATTTATATAAGGAATATTCCAAAATGAAATTTATTTTTATTCTTTTATAATTATAAATTAATTTATTCTTTATAGTTATACTTATAATTAAGTATAATTAATACAGAAACATATAAATAGCAGTATAAATTATGATCAAAATGTCTATATAACCCGAATAAACTAAATAAACATAAATATCGCATATTGTAAAAGCAAAAGAACAGTATAGAAGTATAATTAATAGTTATCAAACTATAGCATTTGAAAATTATTTTGAAGACTTAATAAAAGAATTCACTATTAATGAAAAAATCTATCTTCTGAATTCAATAAAAAAATAAGAAAGAGGGCAAGAATTACAAACAAAGCGACTGGCAAACAATACTGAATTGGCAAAGATGCTGTCTAATGATGGGTCCTACACCAGCAAAGCAACATAAGTATCATTTAATCCGCTTCTAGCTATTTCAGCAGCTGGTACTTATATCCTTCAGATGATCTTATTTTTTAGATAATTAAGATTAGAAATTAGCTGTAGATTTGTTCAAACAGACTAATTTACTTTAATTTACTCTTTTTAATTAACCATATAGACATATTCAGTATAAAATAAAATTATAATGAATTGAATATTTCTTATTACTATATAACCCAAATAATACATAAAATATACTTATATCTGGGTTATTTCGGGTTATATCTATCTGTTTATTATTTCTTATACTTATAATAATTTACTCTTCAATTAATAATACAAAATAATTCTAGAAATTTAAAGTATTTAAGACATATTATTATAGTATAATAAGTAATTAGTATATGTGTAATAATTTTTTATTAGAAATCAGTTTATTAATATAAGGTTCGAGAGAAATCATTAAAATTT